GTTATCCTTTCATTACTTTCCCCTCATACTGACACTGTAATCAGGACCATTTCCAGGTGCTATGTTTGAAGAAGGAGGCTTAAGGACTTTCCTGTGCTGCCGTTAGAATTTAACTCCAGTCTCTCTATCCTTTAATGAAAGAATCGTTTTCATTTCAAATTAAGGGGTCTCTGCTCTGCTGGAGGCAAAGCGGTCGGCTCCTGCTAAGAGGCCAGGTTCTTTTATGCTGGCTTGAAGGTCAGGATTAGGAGGGGCACACTAGACCCATAACTGAATATCAAATCAGACCTGGAGATGCTTTTCTCAGAATCCTAAACAGAAAAAGCTCTTCCCAGCCATCCTTCTTTTCTCTCCCTCCCCTAGGCAAGTGTAGAAAAAAAAAATCCAGAAGGCAATTTTCAACACTTATCTTTTTGGTGGAATATTGTGCAGCTACTAAAAAATATGTTCATGAGGACAATGCAGGAATACTCCAGACACCTATGATGCAGTGTTAAGTAATGCACAGGACACAAAATTGTTATGTATGCATGCCTACATTTGTGGTGTTGTTTTCTTTGAAATCGTATGAATTAGGCTGGCCATGGTGGCTCAGGTCTGTAATCCCAGCACTTTGGAAGGCCGAGGCAGGTGGATCACGAGATCGGGAGATCAACACCATCCTGGCCAGGTTTCACATGTTGAAACCTGGTCTCTACTAAAAATACAAAAATTAGCTGGGCGTGGTGGCACAAGCCTGTAGTCCCAGCTACTCTGGAGGCTGAGGCAGGAGAGTCGTTTTAACCCAGGAGGCAGAAGTTGCAGTGAACTGAGATCGCGCCACTGCACTCAGCCTGGTGACAAAGCATGACTCTTGTCTAAAAAAAAAGAAAGAAGTTAAATGAAAGTTGCCAGGAAGAAAAAATAAAAAAGAAAAGAAAAATAAATTGTATGAATTAAAAGCAGGTGAGAAGTTCGCCCAAATATAAAGGTCAGGTTTGATCATTAAGATAAGGTTTAAGGCCGGGCGCGGTGGCTCAAGCCTGTAATCCCAGCACTTTGGGAGGCCGAGGCAGGTGGATCACGAGGTCAAGAGATCGAGACCATCCTGGTCAACATGGTGAAACCCCGTCTCTACTAAAAATACAAAACATTAGCTGGGCATGGTGGCGCGTGCCTGTAATCCCAGCTACTCAGGAGGCTGAGGCAGGAGAATTGCCTGAACCCAGGAGGCGGAGGTTGCGGTGAGCCGAGATCCCGCCATTGCATTCCAGCCTGGGTAACAAGAGTGAAACTCCGTCTCAAAAAAAAAAAAAAAAAAAAAAAAAAAGATAAGGTTTAAGCCGGGTGGGGTGGCTCACACCTATAATCCCAGCTCTTTGGAATACTGAGGCAGAAGAATCACTTGAACCTGGGAGGCAGAGGTTGCTGCGGTGAGCCAAGATCGTGCCATTGCACACCAGCCTGGGCAACAAGAATGAAACTCTATCTAAAAAAAAAAAATCGGCTTGGTGCAGTGGCTCACACCTTTAATCCCAGCACTTTGGGAGGCTGAGGCGGGCAGATAACCTGAGGTCAGGAGTTCGAGACTAGCCTGGCTAACATCATGAAACCCCATCTCTACTAAAAATACAAAAAATTAGCCAGGCGTGGTGGCAGGAGTCTGTAATCCCAGCTCCCTGGGAGATTGTGGCAAGAGAATTACTTGAACCCGGGAGGCGGAAGTTGCAGTAAGCCAAGATCACACCATTGCTCCCCAGCCTGGGCGACAAGAGCAAAACCCCTTCTCAAAAAAAAAAATCAGGTTTAATAATATATTAATAGGTTTGATATTACATTAAAATCAGGTGGTAGAACAATGGATTTTTTTCTCTGAAATTTCTATTAATAAGTAAAACAATTTTGTATTAAAAAGGTATTTTAAGGCCAGGCACAGTGGCCTGTGCCTATAGTCCCAGGTACTCAAGAGGCTGAAGTGGGAGGATTGCTTAAGTCCAGGAGTTTGAGACCAGCCTGGACAACATAGAGAGACCCCATGTTGTAAAAAAAAAACTGAAGATAGGCGGTGTGCGGTGACTTATGCCTGTAATCCTAGCACTTTGGGAGGCCGTGGCGGGCGGATCACAAGGTTAGGAGATCAAGACCATTCTGGCTAACATGGTGAAATGCTGTGTCTACTAAAAATACGAAAAAAAAAAATTAGCCGAGCATGGTGGTATGCACCTGTAGTCCCAGCTACTCAGGAGGCTGAGGCAAGAGAATCACTTGAGCCTGGGAGGCGGAGGTTGCAGTGAGCTGAGATCATGCCACTGCACTCCAGCCTAGGTGACACTATCTCAAAAAAAAAAAAAAAAAAAAGAACATAAATTCTGAGTTTACAGGACTTCCTTATAAGCTGGGAGCAGGGTGGGGTGCAGTCTCTATCATACATGGATTCATGTGAAAAAGGTTTGACAACCTCAGTTTATAATGAAAGCAGTAAATAAAGCGGGAGGGCCAGGGTTTAGGATTCGTGGTAGCCAAAACTGGAGTGATTTCCTTTATTTAAATTCCTCCCACTGTTCCTTTGAGAGAATTTAGCAGGCAGAGGCGGGGTCTGCAGAACTGTGCCAGCTCCTCTGGCACCTTTGAGGGAATTACAAAAAGGCACGTGGTTTGACTGGCACACCCCAGTTGGGGCAGCCCACACTCACCTCACCTCCTCATTGAGGACCACAGCGTCCTGGGCAAGGAGGGGAGGCACAGGCTAAATCCAGCTCTAGGATTCCCCTAGTAGGAGGCTTTTCCCTGAAGAAAGGATTTCCAAGCCTGGTGATGTCAGCAATGTCCTCCCACCCAGGAAAGTCCCAGGGAGAGGTTCTCTCCTTTGGGCATTGTAAGCCTACTCCCACACAAGGGTCTGCAGCACACACAGGTACAGTTATGTGACACAAAATGGACACACAAGTGCACACACACTTTCCCAGATTGGTGGAACACAATCCCCGTCTACACTTAAGGTAACCTTGTTCCAAATTTGTTTGGCTCTTGCTACGATAACATCAACCACAATTCTTCTTCTTTTTTTTTTCAATCTTGCTCTGCTGCCCAGGCTGGAGTGCAGTGACGCAATCATGGCTCACTGCAGCTTTGACCTCTTGGTCTCAAGCGATCCTCCCACCTCAGCCTCCTAACTGGGACTAGAGGTGCACAACACCACACCTGGCTAATTTAAAAAATATATTTTTAGTATCCAGGTGCAGTGGCTCACGCCTGTAATCCCAACACTTTGGGAGGCTGAGCCATGAGAATCGCTTGAACTTGGGAGGCAGAGGTTACAGTAGTGAGCTGAGATTGTGACACTGCAGTCCAGCCTGGGTGACAGAGTGAGACACTGTCTCAAAAACAAAAACAAAAAAACTTAACAATGGACTAATGCACTGTCAAGCCAGAAGGAACAAAATAAAATATGTGGATTTAATCTGGAAATTAGGAAAGAGAGCCAGGGAGAAACAGAGGAACAGGATCAGATGGGCGAGGTGAGTCCCCAGGTCTCTCCAATGCACCTGGAATTAGATTTCAGCAACCATGTTGTTTCACTAAGTTGCTGTCTGCTTTTTTTTCCCAGGAGAACTGGCAAAAACCCAGCCAGTCCTAGCCTGTGGGAAGACAGAGCTATCAAAACACCTTGGATTCACTTTGTTTTCTAAAGGACAGAACTTCTGCTCTGTGGGGGGCTTTCCCTACCCAAAGGATGGGGAAGGGTAGTCTCTAGAGGCTTATGAGGGGCCTGAGCTGCTCTCTTTTGGGGAATGGAGTCCCCATTACTCTCTCTCACACCACCCTGGTCTTGGCCACAGAGAAAAACCCACAACTTAGCGCCTTGTCCTTTGAAATCTCAGATCAGCCAAAACCTCAGGTCTTTGAAACCTGAGCATTCCCATTCTCTTCTCTTCATAGACAGCCTAATTTCAGGCTGGCCTTTCTCTAGGATTAATATGGTCGCCAAGTTTTGAAGTTTTGAAGGTGGTGTGTGGTCCAGTAAAGGTATATGTGGGTGTTGGGGATGAGGGTGGCTCTAGAGACTCTGGAAGTGCAGAGCAGGCTGCTTTGTTCTCCCCAGCACCTGGTGGCTACCTGTGCGTGTGATGAGACATTAGAAAAACCCCACCCAGGAGCTCTTCTGAGCTGGCCCTGCTGTTAAGGTAGACAGTAAAGTAAAACCTGACATCATTTAATAAACCACCTAAAGGCCCAGGAGCTTTCCTAGTTCCACAGAAGAGAGGTGCTCCAGTCGCTCTGCTCCAGCACCACATCCACTCTGCAAACCACTCTCCCCTGAAATCAACAGATCCTGCCCTCAGCCTCCTGCACTCTATGCTGGAGTTAGGGGCTGGCCAACTGATTGACTTTCTATTTGCAAGAATTGACTTCTCTGGACCTTATTTTTCCCTTCTCCAAAGAAGGCCATTAGCCCAGCTTCTTTTTTCTCTCTCAAGAAATGACATGGGAATAGAGCTATTAACATATTTATGCTTTGAACTTCTAGCAAGGAATAACCATTAAAAATGATATACTGTAGGTTGGGGACAGTGGCTTATGCCTGTAATCCCAGTATTTTGGGAGGTCAAGGTGGATGGATCTCTTGAGGTCGGGAGTTCAAGACCAGCCTGGCCAACATGGTGAAACCCCACTTCTACTAAAAATACAAAAATTAGCTGGGTGTGGTGGCATACGCCTGTAGTCCCAGCTACTCAGAAGGCTGAGGCAGGATAATGACTTGAACCCGGGAAGTGGAGGTTGCAGTGAGCCAAGATTGCGCCACTGAACTCCAACCTGTTGACAGAGTGAGACTCCATCTCAAAAAAAAAAAAAAATTTAGCTGGACTTTGTGGCACGTGCCTGTAATCCCAGCTACTCAGGAGTCTGAAGCAGGAGAACCGCTTGAAGCAGGAGAACCGCTTGAACCAGGAGGCAGAGGTTGCAGTGAGCTGAGATCGCACCACTGCATTCTAGCCTGGGTGACAGAGTGAGACCCTGTCTCAGGAAAAAACAAAACAAAAAACAAAAATAATACACTGTTATTCTGAGAATGACATCTGAAAACTGAAGTCCTGCTTATAGGAAATGAATGGGAAAGCAACAACCTTCAAAGACATTTCTGGAGTTCATGGGAAGACTTGCTACATTTTCTATGTTACACACTTGCCACATGGCTTTCTGCCTCCTCTGCTCCCAGGAAGGCAGTCTTAGATGTTTGCTATTTTGGCCACCCTACAAAAGAAGCCCTTCCATGAGCAACTTACCAAAGCTGCCAAAGTGCAGGAGCAGGTGGGCTGTGGAGCTTTAACACACCTCCTCTCCAGCTTCTCGGCAAACTACAAGGTCAAACACAAGAGGCAGAATAAACCTTGGTGTCTGAGGTTGTTTTTGTGGTTGTTTTCCCAGAGACGGTTTTGCTATGTTGCCCAGGCTGGCCTCGAACTCCTGGGCTCAAATGATCCTCTGCCAAGGCCTCCTGAGTAGCTAGGATTACAAACCATCATGCCTGGCTTGAGTTTGGGTTTTGGTGTACTAGGACACTATTTTGAGGCTATTTGGGCTAAAGCTTAACTTGACATAGATGTTCCATTTAAACAAGCATGGAATCACTATTTTTGTGTGTGACAGAGTTCTGCTCTGTCACCCAGGTTGGAGTGCACTGACACAATCTTGGCTCACTGAAACCTCCACCTCCTGGGCTCAAGTGATTCTCTTGCCTCAGCCTCCCAAGTACTTGGGACTACAGGTTTGTGCCACCACACACAGCTAATTTTTATATTTTTAGTAGAGATGGGGTTTCACTATGTTGGCCAGGCTGGTCTTGAGCTCCAGACCTCAAGAGATCCACCTGCCTCAGCTTCCCAAAGTGCTGGGATTACAGGTATGACCACTGCACAGGAACCACTTTCTTTATCTCCACTTAAACTAAGAACAGATTGTAACAATTTGGAAATCTAGTGTCTATGTACTGGGAGCAGCAAGCACGATGGGAAAAAGCACAGCCTTTGGAGCCAGATTGCTTGGGTCCAGTACTGGTTTGGCTGCTTCTTATTGGCTATGTAATCTGAGGCAAGTAATTAGCCTTGTGTGTGCCTCAGCTTTGCTATCTGTACAACAGGGTCATAGTAATACCTATCTCACAGGCCCAGTGTGAGGGTTGAAGGGACTAATACGTGTCAAGTACACGGAAGAGCATAATAAGCTCTTTAGAGTGTTAACTATAATCGTGATCTTGACATACAGTGATGCAGAGGTACAACCATTCAACCTGGGCTTTCCAGATGAACCCAGTACTTTAAGGGGCAATCAGATCTTATGTCCTGAGTCTGGTTTGGGAAGTATAGTCATCATTCTAGGGACATTCAAACACCATGAGAAGACATACTCTATACACTAAGGGCAGAGTCTCAAAGGTGAGAAACCTCTTTAAAATAGGCTGCAGGGGCTCAGGATTTCTCTCCCAGATGAGTACTTGTAAGCCACTAACTAGTAATTATAAGCCCCTAATTAGTATTTGCAGCTGGGACATGGCTGCTGGTGGGTGTAACTTGCAAAGCATATTAGCGTGTCCCTGTTAGTGGTTTTGGTACACAGAAAACTCCAGCCTTGAAGATTTCCTAGTCCTGAATTATTTAGAGAATGCCATCAACACTGCTTTGAGACTGAACTTGCATTTCATGGGTGTTAAAGCAAAGTCAGCTGAGGGTGGGGGAATGTAGATGGGTACAAATGTTTTGGGGGACCTTTTGGTACTAACATTTGAAATGGTTATACTCTTTTGATCTGGCACTCCAACCTCTTAAGACCTATTGCATAGAAACATTTCAGTATGCAAAGTTATGTCTGGGAATCATTGAAAAACCATTGGAAATTAGAAACAAGTCAACCGAATCATCAATAAACAAATTCGTAAGCTGCAGTTTACCCAAACAATGGAAGCCAGGCTATCATCACAAAGGAGGAGATCTGAGTACTGATATGAGTGTCAAAGGTATATGACTCAGAAAAAATGTGGGACACTCTTTGTGGTAATAAAATATGGTAATAAATAAAGATCTAGAGGGATTTTGCACCAATTTGTCAGTGGCAATCTTGGGTAGGAGCTGAGGTGAGATTGTGGTTTTTCTTTCTTTGGAAATACAGTTTTCTGTTGGGTAGCAGCAAAGCACAGTGCTAAGAAGCACAGCCTCTGGAGCTATAATACCTGGGTCCCAATACTGTTTTGGCTACTTCTTACTGGTTATGTAATCTGGGCAAGTAATTCACCTCTTTGTGCCTCAGTTTTCCCATCCATAGACAGGGTCATAGTAAGACCTATCTCAGAGTGTGAGGGTTAAGGGAATTAATATGCATCAAGCTGGGCGCAGTGGTTCACGCCTGCAATCCCAGCACTTTGGGAGGCTGAAGCAGGTGGATCTTTTGAGTCCAGGAGTTCAAGACCAGCCTGGGCAACATGGCAAAACCCTGTCTCTACTAAAAATACAAAAATTAGCTGGGCATGGTAGCACATCCCTGTAGTCTCAGCTACTTGGGAGGCTGAGGCAGGAGAATTGCTTGAACCTGGGAGGCAAAGGTTGCAGTGAACCAAGATTGAACCAGTGTACTCCAGCCTGGACAACAGAACAAGACTGTCTTAAAAAAAAAAAAAAAAAAATTTAGCTGGGTGAGGTGGTGCATGGCTGTAGTTCCAGCTACTTGGGAGGCTGAGGTGGGAGGATCACCTGAGCCTGGGAAGTGGAGGTTTCAGTGAGCTGTGATTGTGCCACTGCACTCCAGCCTGGGCGACAGACAGAGACTGTCTGCAAAAAAAAACAAACAAACAGGCAAAGTGGCTCATGCCTATAATCCCAGCACTTTGGGAGGCCGAGGTGGGCGGATCTCATGAGGTCAGGAGATCGAGACCATCCTGGGCAACATGGGGAAACCCTGTCTCTACTGAAAAAAAAAAAAAGTTAGCTGGGCATGGTGGTGCGTGCCTGTAATCCCAGCTACTCGGGAGGCAGAGGCAGGAGAATTGCTGGAACCCAGGAGGTGGAGGTTGTAGTCAGCCAACATCATGCCACTACACTCCGGCCTGGTGACAGAGAGAGACTTTGTCTCAAAAAAAAAAAAAAAAAGTGCCAAGTGCACATATTACAAACTATTACAAATTACATATACATTAAACTTGTTTGAATTCACATCACATATCATCTGAAAATGTACACAAATACATATAGCAGCTGGGGCACTGTACCTGCCGGCTGTATACCACTCCTTAGACTGGAGGGCAGAGGGCCGGCATGGGGAAGATGGTAGGTAGCTCCGAGCATGTGTCAGTGGAGCTCAAATGCCTTCTTGGTGGGACCCACGAGTTGGGGTTCATGTGTATACGTGAGTACCTGAGTTTGCACCTCAAACTGTACTCTGCTTGAAAGGCTTTTGCTTCTATACTCACTTTGGGGGTGAGAAGCTTCATTGTATTCAAAAGATGTTCAAAACATTTCATGAAGGGTCTTCCGATGTAGTAAACAGGCTCCTGGCTGCGACCCAGCAGACTTGGAGCCAAATCCCACCAAGGGAGGATGCCAAGACCCTGGCTCCCTGTTCTTCAAGGTCGTTGTAAGAATCAGACAAGCTTCTGGATGGAAAATGACTTTCCAAACTAAAGGAAACACAAACACTGATCTTGCAACTCTGTGTTCCAAAGAACTGCAGAGGGCACTCTGGGGGAGGGGCACAAAAACGGAGGCCTGGTAGCGTGGGGCTGCTGATTCCTTAGAAGAACTGGGGAGGGACAACAGATGATGATGCCTCCAATGGTTCAGTTTCAGCCTTCCAGGGCCGATGGTGGGGTCTGCATTCCCTCCTCATCTTCCAGCCTGTGCAGAGGGCGCTGAGCATAGCCCTGAGCTCTGCCTGCAAGGAAGAGGCAGCACCGGGTATTGTAAAGAGCAACACAGGTTCCCAACCCCCAAGCGGTGATTCAGTTCCAACAGAGTGGAGCATGGCAGGCAGAGGTGCCGCGCACTGCAGTGTGGCTGCAGAGCTTGCTGAGGACACAGCCAGGCCCTCTGAAGTCAAGGATGCTGCTGGGGGAAGGGAGGTAGTGGGGAAGAAGACCCCCTCATGGTGAAGGAAATGTGGCACCTCTCACAGCTCCCATTTCTGATTCTCTCCCTTTGCCAATCCAGCTGAGATTTTAGATTTCTGTGCAAAGATTGCAGAAGCTTATCTGGTTTTATACAGGTCAGATGACCCATCTCTTGACTTATTCTTACCAATTGATCCACTTTCACATGTTGAAGCCAGTCCTCCAATGCGGCAAACAGCCGGTCGAGAGGCACAAAAAGGCAGGTGGCAGGCAGCGCTTCATTCAGTCACCCTCGCAGACAAAGAGACAGAGCAGGTGGATGGACCCAGGGCAGATCAACACACTTGCTCTCCTCTTTTTGGGCCAATGAGGAGAAACGGCTGCTACCAGAGAAGAGGAGCTGAAACAATAGTCACTGAGGCCAAGTTGGGGGGTGGCATGAAAAGGGGTGGGCATTACTGCTTCCTTTTTATAGAGGGAAAAAAACTGGCTGGGGTATGGTTATATGTTTTTCTTTTATTTTTTCCCCTATGGGGACAGGGTCTCACTCTCGCCCAGGCTGGAGTGCAGTACTCCTGGACTCAAGCAATCCTCCTCCCTCAGCACCCCAAGTAGTTAGGACTACAGGCATGCCACCATCACGCCTAGCTAATTTTTGTTTTTACAGAGATGGAGTTTCAACATGTCGCCCAAGCTGGTCTTAAACTCCTAGGCTCAAGCGATCCACCTACCTGTGCCTTCCAAAGTGCTGGGATTATGGACACATGTCACCGAGCCTGGCTTGCATTTCTTATTTTACAACATTTTATCATCTTGGCCTCAAAGCACTCTCTGTAAACAAGCTGAAGAGGCTGCATGGCTGGGCACGGTGGCTCACGCCTGTAATCCCAGCACTTTAGGAGGCCAAGGTGGGCAGATCACTTGAAGTCAGGAGTTTGAGACCAGGCTAGGCAACATGGCAAAACCCTGTCTCTACTAAAAATACAAAAATTAGCCAGGCGTGGTGGCACACACCTGTAATCCCAGCTACTCAGGAGGCTGAGGCAGGAGAATCGCTTGAACCTGGGTGGTGGAAGTGGCAGTGAGCTGAGACTGCACCGCTACACTCTAGCCTGGGTGACAGAGTGAGACTCTGTCTCAAAAAAAAAAAAGGAAGCTGCAGGTGATAAAAGGTCTGTGGGTGCCCTCCTCGTTCAAAGTGGCCCCTAAGGCTCAATGTGATCACCCGCTTCACTGCCCCTCCACCTTCCTGTCACTCACTCTGCTTGGACCACACTGCCTGCCGCTGTCTCTCCTGAGACCTGTTGTCACCTCTGGGCCTTGGCACTTGCTGTTCCCATTACCTGGAAAGCTCTTCCCTCATTATTTTAGTACTCACTAATTTACCTCCTGATCCTTACTCAAATACCAGCTTCTGGGCAAGGCTACCTTTGGACAACAAATCTCAACTTACTGTTCCCACTCTCCTCCTTCCTGACTTTATTTTCTCCATCGTTTACCAATTGAAATTTTTTTTTTCAAAAGGTGGAGTGCAGTGGCAGGATCTCAGCTCACTGCAACTTCTGGGTTCAAGCGATTCTCCTGCCTCAGCCTCCCGAGTAGCTGTGATTACAGGCACATGCAACCACACCTGGCTAATTTTTGCATTTTTAGTAGAGATAGGTTTTTGCCATGTTGGCCAGGCTGGTCTTGAACTCCTGACCTCAAGTGATCCACCTGCCTCAGCATCCCAAAGTGTGGGGATTACAGGGGTGAGCCATTGTGCCTGGACCCACTTGACATTGTTTATCTTACTTGTTGTCTGTCTCCCTCTACTGCCTCATAAGCTTATAGGTGCTAATAGGTGCTCGATACCTAATAGGGGCTCAAAAAATTGTTGTCATTGCCTGTGGTTTGCTTTCCTACACCCCAGTCCCTGGGACACTGGCTCTTACATGGGGATGGGTGGGCAGAGCCAGGGGAAAGCAAAGAAGTGCAGGAGGGAGTGAACAAACGAAGCAAGGGTGGATTACAGTAGTTTACGCCTATAATCCCAGCACTTTGGGAGGTTGAGACAGGTGGATGACCTGAGGTCAGAAGTTCAAAATCAGCCTGGCCAACATGGCAAAACCCTGTCTCTACTAAAAATACA